CACACACACACACACACGCCTGGGATCAGACTGATTCAGGCGCCTCATGATAGAAAATTGGAGGCAGAAAGTCCAACAGAGAGCACACTTGCTGTAAAACAAGACTCATTAAAATCTAATTAAATACAAACTGACAGGTGTGCTAATTAAGATTAAAATAAACTAATCATTGGAGGAATGCATCTTACCTGCCACCTGAGCTTTACAATAAGATCATGAAGGAGTTGGAGCTGTTTTCATTAAACTTTAAAACATCATTATGATAATTGTGACACATTACTGTAGATAAAACATCACGTTTCAGAGGAGCTGATATAAACTAAAGAAAATCATAAGATTATTTTAAATAAAGACAAAGCAGCCTTCATCAAAAGAGCATTAACTGTGACTGCAATGACTGTAAGCAAACAAATAATTAGAAATTACAGAGATTATCCCTCATCAGATTATATAATAACGTAAAATAAAAAGTATGATGGTCTGAAAACTGATGTTTTAACCTGATTTCTGCAGACAAACATGAGGACACCACGGCTACAGTAAATGAACACATTACTGTCACTAAAGGACATTTTTGTGGCGCAGCTTCTTATCAAAGCGGCCCAACAGAACCGGCTGGAAGGCCTTCAGGTTCGTGGAGGCCCAGTTTTCCCCTGGTCCCTGCCAAGCTAGCGGACCTGCTAACCCGTTCCCCAGTTCCGGTGTGCGGCTAAAAGCGGACCAGAGATGAGCTCATCCAGGCTAACATCCATCAGAACCAGCCTGCTGGCTCCGCGGGTCACCGACAGGTTCGAAACCCGGCTCAGAAACTGGTATTTGTTAGTAAAAACACAAAGTAGCCGCTCAGGCTAACGGTTAGCATCGTCAGAACAGGATTTTCCAGCATTTTGTTAGCTTCGGCTAATGTAGCAGCTAGCGGTGTTAGCACGTTAGCTCGTGACAAAAATCGACACAAAAATAATTAAAAACAGCTGAGTGGTTCCGTGCGGCTTCGTGGTGTCAGGTCGACAAACGTGACAGGATAAAAAGTCATATTTAATATTTTACAGATCATTTCTTACCCGTGTTCCTGCTGAAAAGCCTTGCTCAACGGCTCTTTGTCTGCAAAAAATGGCTACAGGGAAAAGTCGGGCACAGATGCCCCCGGAGGAGCGCGGTGTCGGTGGAGAGCGCTGAGCGGTCACAGGAGCTGGACGGAACCATCCCGGACAATTTAAAATATATTTCTATAAAAATACTCATCAGAGAGCTTTAAAAACTACAGAGCTCTGCAGGACCCGCGGCGGCCCGCTCTCCGTCATGGTGGGGGGCTCCAGTCTGCCGGGGTGGCCGCAGCTTCAACAGCCAATATGACGGCTCTCCCAGCGGGCAGGACCCGAGGAGAGGACGGGGTCCCGGTCCCAACTGACAGCGGCTCGGTCCAATGGAGCACAGCCGAACCACGACCACTTCCGAACCAGCACGAGCATGGGGAGAGCCCAGGAGTCGAGTCCATGTGACAGATGTCACTCTCCACCAATCAGCGGAGAGGATAGTGAGGGGGCGGGGCTAGAACCTCCACGTACAGAGGGACTCCACATGACAGGCATGTCTCTCCTCCAATGAGCGGAGAGGATACTGCAGGGGGCGGGGCTTGAYGTTAGTTAAACCCGTGGAGAGAAGAGATGTAGGAAGTTTGATGTTTATCAAACATGTTACTTTTTTATTGAATCAAAACAAAATTCTCTCCTTAAACTGATGCTGGAGAAATTAATACGAGTTTAAACTCAGTTTAAAATGTTTCTGATAAATCATTTACTCTTGTCAAGTTAGTAGGTTGTAAATATAAATATATATTGTGTGTTTATTTACAACTTTAATGTGTTTGTGCTGTTTTTATTGTGTTTGTGAGGCAGGTTTGACTCTGTCCTTCCTACAGGTCCTCTGAGGACAGGGATCTGGAGCTGAAGACCTGGAGGACATCTTCTGGTTGTTCTTCATCATCATCATCATCATCATCATCATCATCATCATCATCATGTCCTGATGCATCTCAGTAATCCAGGTAAAAAATCAAACAGAAAAAATATTATAGGTCCTCTGTCCAGAAGACCTATAATATTTCTTCTTTTTGATTTTTCATCATCAGTTTCACTTTGTGCTTACCAGGGCTGTCACTAGGTTTTAGGACAAGGGGGGCTTAGCCCCCAGGAGACGCACAGAATTTTTGTATATTATATATTTGTATTGTGTGTGTTATATAT